TGTCGCTGTCGCTGTTGCCGTCGCTGCAAGCAAAATGCAAAATTTATTGCAGAAAACTACAGAGCAGTGGGTGGTGCGCTGTGACTGAACGGCTGAGCGGTTGAGAGGCGGCGGTGGCGCTGTTTGCCGCTGTCACCACCGCCTCCGGATGAAGTGAGGCGTGCAAAATGTGTTAAGTCTATTGAGTGTATTAAAGCAAATAACTGCTGCGAATGAAATACATGCAACAACAACAACAACAACAACAGCAGCAGCAGCAACAGCAAAAATGACGACAACGATGGCGATACATGCAGATGCCAGCGGCACTGGTGGCTGTGGGGGCGTGGCAGGGCCTAAGATACGTAAATGCCAAACATCCAACAGCAACACACACACATACACACACATCGACACATATGCAAATATGAATATAAATGAACAGCGGCTGAGCGCGGCTAAATCAAGTGTGTGTGGGTATGTATGTGTAGGTGTGTGTGTGGCTGTGTGTGTGTGTGTGTGGATACCAAAAGTTAAAAGTTAAACTTATGGGCGCAAAAGCAGATCGACAAGGGTATTACAACTAAAACAAAAGTGTGAACAAGCGCAGCTGCTGCTGCTGCTGCTGCCGCTGCTGTTGCTGCTGCTGCTGCTGCTGTGGCAATAACGAGGCCACGACAATGTGTGTGTGGCATTTGAAGGCGAGGCTTGGCGACAGCTAAAAGGGATTGCCGGGGCGGCGAACAGTTGGGGAATGCGTGTTAAATTTACAATTATGCGACCCACGCAGAGAGAGAGAGAGAGAGAGAGAGAGAGACAGAGAGACAGAGAGAGAGGGAGATGGGAGATACATTTGCTAAGCTGCTGTGACATAGTGGTAAATGGGTCTTTCGCATCGCCACCTGCTCAACGACCGCGCTGGCAATTCAATAAAGTGCCAGAGCAGCCCGCCTGTAATGTGTCAATACAATCAGTCAGTCTTAAAAGCGCAATTAAAGACACAAACTGAGCGAAAGTGCGAACACAAGACAGTCACTCTCCCACAGAAAAGGTCGTCCACTTCCCAACGCCCCTCCTTAATCGATGGCCCACTTTCAGCGCTCGCCTCAATGCAAACATTGAGCCTGCCAATGAGCAGGCGAAACTTGCGCCGACTTCTCGCTTAACGAAAGTTGTCAGCTCCAATAAATGCGAGGCGAATGCGGGCGGCTGGCTGGGGTCGGGCCAGATATAAGTAATTAAAAGTTATGTACATAAATAAGTTGTATACAAATTGAGCGAGTTTCTTAAGATTCTGCTAAAGACTTGAGCAATTGGCAGTCGTGCCGTGCCGACTTAGTGCTGCCTCCAGATTAGCTTCACGTAGCGTCGTTTGACTTGTTCAATTTGACGAGGGAGCTCAATAAGTTTTTCTTATGGTCCGTGTGGGGTCAACTGTAAGTAAGTTATGAGTAAGCAAAAATTTGTGCAGAAGGTAGATATAAATGCGTCCATCTATGTAACTCTCAATCATCGCTTGTTAGAAGCAACAGAATCGATATATGCGCTCTTCTCTGCGATTCTCAATCAACCGAATCAGTTTTTTTTATATGTGAGCAGTTTAGAATAACATAGATGAATGCAATCGATGCAGCCTTCTATGCGATTCTCAAAAGTTTAATAATTTCAAGGAGCTCAATCTATTTTATAAGCATAATATCTGAGGTCAACTTTAGGCTCTAAAAAATTACATTAAACAAGAACGGTATATGCGCTTTCAAGAGAGAGAAAGAGAGAGAGAGAAAATGAGACAGGGAGAGAGAGGGCAAGCTCAATCTATTATGTGTAAGCCCAACCATAAGTTAAATATTAGTGAGTCTAAGGATTTTATAAATTGCATGCCACGACGCTTAAAATGTGCCCTTCTATGCACTTCTCAGAAGCCTAAGTACAAGACCTCAATTCATTTTTGTAATGAGCTTCAAATTGCAATCGCATGAGTAAGTGATTTAAAATCGAAGAGAGCTGATCCTATAACCCTTTGATGCATATTAATTGAAAACATTGAGGGTTCAAGCAAGTGATATATTTTATAGCAACATGTGTAGCATGTTATCAATGCATCCTATATTTATTTATTTAATCGGATGCCAATATAAGAGAATATGAAGCGATTAATATCAGCTCAACGTCATATTAAAATAAGATGAATCAAAGCTCCAGCTATGAGCAATGATGTGCTGCATGCCATTGAGTGCTCGGTCAACTCAAAGTCTCACTATCTCGTAGGCAGAGTGAAGTTCTATTACTCAACACCTTTTGACAGGCACTGAATGCTTTGCCACACATCCTGCCATGCATGTTGCATCAATGGGAGTCCATGAACTATGCCATGGCTGTAAGCATCTTTAAATGCCATGAAATTGTAAGTTTATTGTTATCCATTGCGTAGTTGGGCCTTTGACTGCACTGAAGCCTATAAACTATACAAAGCACAACTTGGCAGGACATTAGTCGCATCAAAGGCTAAGGCTAAGGCTACATTGTTGGTTATCTCCATTACAACACACACACACACACACACACACATAGCTTGACAGACACGGTATTAATAGAAATAATATTAAATTAAAACAGACTAAAGCATATAATCTACCAAAGGCATGTGTTTAATTGGAAAGTTTTAGAGGAGCTCATTAAATTGAATTTGTATTTGTTTTGGCTGATTTATGCACTCTCTATCCCCATATACATACATAAATACATATATACACATATACAATATGTGTACATAATGGCAATATGAAACTGTAGAAAATAATGTTGTTAAAATTAATTTGCATTTAATTAAATTTATGTTGCAAATTGTCGCACGATGGCAACGACACGACGACACGGCAGCGGCCGTAGCAGGAAATAAGCAGCTTTGACATACGGCAAATGGATGCCAGCACACACATAGAAGCACGCACACAGACACAGAGACACACATAGACTATCCCAGGCACATGTGGCGCTGAGAGCAGAGGCACATGTGAAGCTAGAGCAAAAACTAGGTAACAGCAGTGGAGTGGAGAAGCCAGTGCGATTACAAAAACATCAACACTTAATATGTTTATTAAATTTGTTGCTACATCATTAGGCACTAGCAGCCATATAATGCGGCGCAAACACTTTGGCAATCGCAAACACACACACACACACACAGACACACTTACACACACAAACTTCCACATGTACACACTCACACACACACACTCGCGCACACATGACTGTGAGCTTGCTTGCCGTTGAGCGTTAATACCCTACGCCTCATAAAACGTATATGCCGAGGTAATTCAAACTTGGCACAAATACATGTAACACTTGCTAAAAGCAAAAGAAGCTATAAATGCTTGCAAACACACAGACACACTCACACACACACAACAGAAACAAGCGGAACTGAGCATATAATATTAAATGAAAAAAAAAATAAATAAAAATGTATATATATATATATATATATATATATATATATATATTTTAACTAATTTTGTTATATATTAAATATATAAATTTTTTTTTTTTTGTTTTTTTTTTTTTTCTTTTAAGTTTTGAGAAATATTAAACTTCGATATAATATATTGAAAAATATTAATAAAAAAATAAATGAATATTTATTCGAAATTTATCTATAAATAATAAATATTAAGAGCATGATAAAAAAATAATACAATTTGGATTTTATTAAATAAATAGTTTTCGTTAAATAAGCTTTTAAATTTGTATAAAATTATATATACTTTTGAAGAAAATAATACATTAGGGTAATTAAAATTGAACTGAGTTTTTAATTTAAAAATTCAAGAAAAAAAAAAAAAAAAAAAAAAACAGAAGAATTATTAATTTTATATATGATAGAAATTCATAATCTAATTTGTATTATTAAAAATGTATATGGTCAACTATAGCTTAGAAATATGCATACAAAAGCTACGATTTTATATTCGCTTGATGAAAAAAATTGATAAAAAGAAAAGAAAATGTATAAATATAGGCAATTATAGTATAATTTAGGAAATATCTAAGACTTTCTATTAATTAGAATTTGATTAGCATTGAAAAATTTAAAAATTCGTAATTGGCATATATACTATCATTAATTATTATGTTACACTATATAGCTTGCTAGCTTACTAGAGTATCTGAAAGTCGTCTTGGCTTTAAGCGCTTAACTTGTTTAGCAAATGGCAATGCCCCAGCAAAAAGTGCTCCAGGAACACACACACACACACACTCGTAGACACACAGACACACACATCCTCGTAGACACTTACACACACGCATCAACTAATACATATGCACAGTGGCTGTAACTGGCATGAATGTGCTTTGGGCCACTTTACATAGGCTTAACGATTGTTGTTTAGACGCAGTTACTGTTGCGTTGCAGCTGCACACTAACTGCTGCCACTACCGCTGCCTCTACTGCGACCGTTGCTGCTTGCGTCGCCAGTTCAAATAGACTTATATGAGTGCACTACGACTACGACTCCGAGTTGCGAATTGAAAGCGTTCAGGCTTTAAAACTGCAAAAAAATATATATATATGAGGGAAACTTGTGCATTGCCTACTTTTTGGGGCGATGCATGGGTGGCTGGTTGGGTGGGTGGTGGTGTTGGTTTGGGCGGTGCAGTAATTCCTGTTTACCGTAACATGTGCGTAAAGTTTGCAGCTGATGCAAAAAAGTGCAGTGAAAAGTTGATTTATTCACAGCAGCAGCAGCAAAAGTTATGCGCATTATTAATAAAAAAAAGAAAAATAAAATGAAAAAGAGAAAACAAAAATGCAAGAGAAGAAGTGAAGCCAACGCGACGCTCGCATAAATTTTAATGCGCACGATTATTTTTATGATAATATAACCCGTAAATGTTATGTTGAAATATGCGGATGTGCGTGCATTGATAAATCCTCGCAACACACTCTAAGCCTTGTATTCCATTTTCTGTCTCACACACAAACTCTCTCTGTCTCTCTCTTTCACTCTCTCCTCTGACAGCCAACACAGAAGCGCCAACGAAATCGCTGACAATAAAATCCAGCAACACCACCACCGCCATCAGCAACAGCAGCACCACCACACTTGCCACGCCCACAAGCCCCTACATCGAAGAGGAGCACGCGCTGACCATCTCAACAGCAACCACAACCACAAGAGCGGATCGCTACCGGCGACAGGCGGAGGAGGATCAAGTGGATCGCTGCCGGCTCTTCGTTGAGGGCGATCCCACCAAGAACGAGCTCTACAGCCCCGAATATCCCAATCTATATCCAAAGAACATTAACTGCACCCGCGTGATAACAGGTGAGTGCAAAGGATTGTTGACTTGTCATCAGCTGGCGGTTTATGGAATGAGTGTAGATAGATGCTCGTTTATGTAGTATAGGAGAGTAGGAGAAGGAACACAAAGGGAGAGATCTGATAGACTGTTAAAATTAAATTGAGAGCTGGAATTTTTTTTATTGAAGTTAAAGAGTTGTATATAAATACAGGTATATATAGATACACATATATTAGCTGCTGGAAAGCATTAGGAACTTAACGATCATACCGAATGTCACTGTGATCAAGTACATATATATAATTTTTAACAAATATATACTAAATATTTCAGTCGTATACTTCAATGGACTCTCATATACCTTACATAAGAATTTTAAATATAAAGAAGAGCAATGGAGCGACGATTATTTCAGCATAGATCTGTGATTCATGCAGCTCATTTTAGTGTAGATCATTTAGTGATGATTGATGGATGAGCACTAGGGGTCTACATTAATGAGGAAAAAAAGAAAAATTTCGCTAAAATTAACAATGCTCAGAATGCGTTGAGTGAAACGCAATGCGAGAGTGAGTCTAGCAGCCAAACAATGAGAACAAAAGCGAATGGAATGAGTGGGAATGGGTAAGCACGAGAGGTTCCGTGACGAAAAATAATTGTGCTTCGGCTTGTCAGCCTCGTGCTCGACTTCTTTACGTCGTTCGTTTCTATTGACTGTCAGACTAATTCGACTGTCTTTGGCTCTGCCATAGTTCTCATTCCATTCATTCTATTTCTTGCTTTACTTATTCCATTCCACTTAATGTAGTGCTCTACAATTACAGATCAGTTCAGAGTAGATCACTGTAGATCACTCGTCTGTGAACAGTGTTAAAGACAACATTGATTTGTTGTTGTTGACAAAGTAAATAAATAAATTATAAATAATAATAATAACAAATAAATAAATATACAAAAAATCGTATACAAATAATTAAATTAATTAATTATTTAATTCAGTACATGCAATTTTTGTTTTTATTTCATAGTTGTTTAAATTTAAAATATACAAAAATTTAGTTTACTCAAATTCAATATTTTCATTTCATCATTTCAAGCAATTCATTCAAATCTAAGATTTCGTTGAGGAGACAAGTAAAACCTATTCAAATGAGCGGCTCTATTCTGACGGCTCTATAAGGCAGCCCATAAATGATCTGGTTACATATTGATCTCGGTAGAGCCATATAGATCTAGATGCGAATAGCTTCACTTGTTCACATAAAACTTTGCCAAATGATTTATGTCTATAAATTTATTTAATGTTAAATGAATGAATAGGCCAATGCGCCGTCTAATGTATTCATTGTGGATATCAAATATTGTGTGTAAAGGCAAAGGGTCTTAGCAAAGATAAATATACATATGCAATTTATATGCAAAAGTAATTCGTAATATGATAATGAGTGAAGGGTTTCATTGAGTGCTCAACCCTTCGATTCGATTCGCTTCGATACGATACGATTCGCATAGACTTTTCAACCGGCTGCAGGCAATGTCTTGGCTTAGCTTTATGCCAGCCAATTCACGGCCAAGAAGCTGCGGCATGTGTGTAGGGCACTTAGTGAGTGCGGAGTGGGCGAGAGACTCGTAAAAGTTGATATGGCAAGCACTTTGCTGCCGGCGCGCTACTTACTGCAAATAATTGCAAGTCTTAGCGAGGATGCAGCCATTGTGTTGACATTCCAGATGCCAGTCAGAGTTCAGCCCGTCAGTCAGCGAGTCAGTTAAATAGATTGAAGTAGATGCAGCCGCATTGCTATTAAAAGCGTTCGCGTGTTAGCCTGATGGCCCCCAAATGCGTTTTGAATTGAGGCAGAGATTCGATTTCAGTTACTGTTCTTCGACGGGGCTGGCAATGGGGAGTGTGGGAGTACGGTGGTAATGGGGTATAGCACATGTGGGGCTTTTGGCTTTGACTTTGGCTTTCGGCTTCGGCGTCGGCAGCGGCTTCAGCTTGGCAGTCATCATATTTGCGGGCGTTGCGCTTCACTGGGTTTTGGCCTGGCGCTTATCTGTAAACAGGGCCAAATTCATTTGTCAGTTAAGACAAAATGCGAGCAACAACATGACTGCAAGCCGAGCAGCTCAGATAAAACCTAAAGCGTATGAAATGATTGACTTTCCATAGGCACGCATCAGCGAATGCCATCATCAGAGACGATTCACAGTATCTGTAGTGAATGTGTGTGTGTGTGTGTGTGTGTGTGTGCTCGCTAAGACAGACAGGCTAGAAAGATAGATAGATGGAAAGATAGACCGACAACTGCCATAGGGAGTGGCAGGCTTATTTGCATAACAATATGAGTGCGGTCGGGCGATAGACGTTGCCTGTATGCGAGTCGGACATGTTGCCTTCTGGCTGCTGTCTAATGCTAGGCTCTCAGGCTGTTAAGCGGCTGCATTAGTAGCGAACGTGCGGCATATATACATACATATTTATATACATATACACATACATTCACTGTAATTCCCTCTGGTACCGTGTGTGTGTGTGTGTGTGAGCACTGACAACTTCCCAGTTGTGCAAGTCAATTGCTGTTAATTTAGTTATCTTTAATAAGTCCCAGCAGCAAATATATGGCTACATCAATAATTCCCAACAAATAGTATTTAAATTGACAATTGCAATTTTCAATGAGTCCATTGTAACAGATCCTGAAAATTGCAATAAAAATGATAGAGTAATTTATATGAATGTGAATACTACTTATGGCATGTTATTCACTTATTCAATAAGAATTGAATTTCTGTAAGGGTAATTGAATTGAACTTGTACCTTATATGATATATGGGTATGGATAATAAATGTGTCAGACTTTGTTTCATAGGAAATATTGGTTTTGTGAAATATATAAGCGGCTGAAGTGAGCGTGGCAGACCACAAATAATATATACAGATATTATTCTTGATGTCTGTCTCTCTGTATTTCCATTCCTCCGTCTATTGCTGAAATCTACCGCCATTTGTCCATCCACGTCAACGCGACGATCTCGTAAGCTACATAAACTAGGAACATGCAATTTTCAATATATATTTCTGGATTCAATACGCAGTCCCAGCTTATTTTTATTTTCCTATTTTCTTAGTACCGATAAAAATGTTTCACTATTTTGAATACTACAATACTACATACATCCAATTTGCTGTGGTTTCAGTAAAGAACTCACATACTTAATATATTTCATTTTTATACCTCCCCTGTACGCATAAACTCAAAGGCATACAAGTACTAAATGCACACATATGAATGTCATTGTTACGCTCTGAAAATGTGAGTAAAAAAGTTCAGCTAAAAGTAAAGTTGTTCAACAATTAAGCTTGCATAATAAAGCCCATAAGCGCAGTCCTGCTGCGCTAGCAGCGCAATGAGTAAATAACGAGCGCATGTGTGTGTGTGTGCAAGGATTTTAAAATTGTATTCCAAAGGCAATCAAGTCTATATACAGTAGAATCCGGTTATAATGACGCTCAAAGGACCGCCAGTAGACCCGGAAGACGCTTAACCATATCAATTTGTCCATAAAAGTTTGTCTAGGGACCAGAATTTTCGTGGCACTAACCGTATGGGCGCTATAAGCGGAGTCGCTATAACCGTACATACAGTAGAATATCTGATAAGCACACAAGTCAATCAAGGTATGTCCGCTTTCTGTCAGAAGTTTGTTTCCAAATTTCCATAGTTCTTTTACTATTTCATATAATCTATAACAATTGCTATCAGACATTAGCATTTAACTCAAACGATTTGGTATTAAGACTTATAGAAGCTATGCACAGGTATGCAGTAATCTCTCTCTCTCTCTCTCTCTCTCTCTCTCTCTCTACCTCACTCCTTTAACTAACTAGCTTCCCAGTCATTATATATTTGAAGTTAAGAGCTTGCGTTTCAACTCATATGCACATTCTGATGTATTATTCAAAGCCTAATTTCAGTGCGATCGAACCACATAGTAACCGAGCCTTAAATGAAGAAGAAGAAAAAGCACAGCTCATGTGTATGTGTGCATATATGCACAGCGATTAGGCTCAAATGTATGCAAAAGTAGCCTGACAGAGAGTTTCAGGTTTTGGAACTAAGCCAGCCTTAGATTTCAATTAACAAGTCGAAGCAGAGGCTTACCTATTACAGGTGCCTTCGAAACACTATCTGGGCAGAGGACACACATGCATCTGCATACACATTAATGCTCATCTGTGCACACACATACAGCATTACAAATGGATGGCCCAAATAATAATTTTAGAGGCAAACAAAATTAGAATGGCTTCGCCTTTGTCTATCAATTGGCTAACGGCAGCTTTGTGGTTAGTTTTTCATTGGGTCTGCAATTTGTTTGAGCAGATGCTATTCAAAAGCCCCAAATTACTATGCCAGCACACATGAGAGAGGCTGGGCGGAGCAGGAGGAGCAGGAGGAGCAGGAGGGTGTGTAGTAGTCTCTAAAGAGGGGCCAAAGACTGAGCTTCCTTTCATTTCGGTCTCAGTCTCTCTCAGCTTGTGCGGCTGTATCAAGGCCAATCAGCAAGCAAATCCCCATTCGCATTCAATGTGAGCGCACAAACATCGCATTTGTTTGGCCAAACCTCTGTGATTTACACTTTCATTACAGTTCCATTATGTTATAGTATGTTGAGGCTGGACTCTATCTGTGTGTGTGTGTGTGTGTGTGTGTGTGTGGCTGGGCCAAAGAATATCCCAGACGTAGACTGTGGCTCGCAGTTGCAGCTCTCTTTTATAGGCTATTGTGTCAGCCAGTCTGCGTGTCTGTGTGTGTGTGTGTGTGTGTTGCTGTGCGCCTTTTCAAGTCTTACATAACTGTCCATTGAAGCGTGCCCAGAGTCGTTATCAGCCCTTTAGCTCATCTGCCGACACAGATTGTCCGGCTGCTTCTTGAAGACCTCTTGGCTCAAAATATTTTAGCCTGCTTTCAGCTAGCTGAAAGACTCGTATGCTTAATAAAAGAACATTGTTTTTGTTGTTGTTGTCTGATCTGTACTCAATTGCCTTATAGAACAACAGTAGAGGCAACAGTAATTTAAGTGCAAGCACATTTGATTTGCTTTAAATACATTCAAGCAATGTGAATTTCGAATTTGTTTTGTGAAAATTTAAAGAAACTCATTAGGAAAATATTGAGAATTAAAAAAAAATTTTGCCAGCAAAAAAAAAAAAAAAAAAATCATATTCAAGTGAACATAGCCTCAGAAGTTATCTGTATATTAATCAATGATGTTTTATTGAATATTTATTATATTATTAATACGTCTAGAAACTATATATCAGGTATGTAAGTTTAGCTACCCGAGAAAAATATAATACTGTGCCGATATGTAGGACGAGCATAACTCGTTCTTGTATGTTACAATCATCAAGGAGAGCATTTTGAGTTTGATTTTTCGCTCTTCCTGTGCATTTCTTCTTCTCTATGTTCCTTTACTTGTGCTCCTCACCCTCTTCTCCCTGCTTATGTTCCTGTCCCCATGTTCCTCTAATTTTTTCTTCTCCCTAAGATCCTCTTCCTACGTTCCTCTCTCTGTGTACCTCTCCCTAGGTTTCCCTTCCTACATTCGTCTACCTATGTTCCTCACCCTCTGTTTTCAAACTTATATTCTTCTGCCTCCAGTCGTCAGCGTTTGTTCCTTTCGCTATGTTCCGTTTTCAAAGCTCATCTGCCTATCTTCGTCTCCCTGTGTTCCTCTCCCTATGTTACTCTGATTTTGTTCCTATCCTTATGATCCTCTTCTCCTTAAGTTTCTCTTCATAAGTTCCTCTTTCTATGTTTCTCGCAACTAGCTTATTACTTATGTTCCTTTCCCTATTTTTCCATCCCTCTCCCTGTGATCGTTCTCTCTTTCTCTCTCCCTCAGCTCGTTTACTGTATGTCTACCAAAGTAACTGAAGAATTAAGTCATTGTCAAATAAAAACCAAAAGAGAGCAGTTCAAATATTTTGGAGCTTATGACACGACAGTGAACGAGAAAGAATTAAAACTTTTTCAATGATTTTACAAACTTCAAGACTAAAAACTCAGCTTAGCTGGCAAAATTCCATTGTTGTTGTTATTTTTGTTGGTGACTTTTAGCACCGTAAATGAATATATAAATATGCGACAGCATCGTTTCAAGCTCCAGCTGCTATTTAAATATGCATATCCTCAGACCTTTTGTTATGCAGTGTTAAAACTCAGCCCTGAGCTTTGTTTTTATTGTAAATATTTATAGGCTTTGAGGCAGTTGAGCCAAAATGGAAACAGAAGCCTTAAGCTGTTGGATGGATGGATTCGATCGATATTTAGGGAAAATTAACACATATTAGAAGAGGCGCACATACAATATATACATATGTATATAACTAATCTGGTAAACTATTTAATTTAATTACAGCGCCGAAGGGACAAATTATAAGGCTGGATTTTCGCAACTCGTTCAATATTGAGGCCAAGGAGGAGTGCAAATTTGATTTTCTCGAGGTAAGCAAGTGCAGGGATAACAAAAAATAAGAATGAGATAAAAAAATATGCTGCATTTGCATAACAAATACAATGTTGCTGCTGACATAAGACGCAGCTTGCTCTCATTTCGGGTAGGGGAAAAAAATGTTTACAAATTGTTGACTTTGTTGTGATGCTGCTGCTGCTGCTGTGAGTGTGTGTGCTTGGCAGACAAATCCTTTGGCCTTGCCTTAATTGAAAGTTAACATTACAGCAGCGGCGGCTCACGTGTCGTATGCGCAATTCCACCGAGAAAAACTTCATCTCCAAAACAAATGTCAAACATATAGCTGCATGAAAAGTGTGCACATTCTGCGTCAGCTGCTGTTAATTGGAATATAATTTTAATTAGTTCTTCACAGCCAGCGAGAGGGAAGAGAAGAAGAATAGAGAAAAGATGCAAAACAACTAATTGAAATATGATTTGCGTTACGCCTCACACATTTCCTATTTATGAACAAATTGAACAGCTCAAGAGCTAATTTTTGCCTAATCATGCGGCTTACATGAGCCGAACTAATTAAAGCGTGTGAACTTTGTCACACTTTCAGCTCAAGACTTCCATTTCAAGACAGATGACGGGGCGTTTTCTTTATGTTTGCCGCTATTTAAATTGATTTTTAGTCGAAGAGCTGATTACACAGGCCAACAGGCTTTAAGTATTCATTACAGCTAATACGGGGCAAAAATTGATTTCTTATTATTTAATTTGAATCAATTTTATATTGTATTTATTCTCTGAGTCGATTGACAAACGAAATCCAATTGTTAGAAAGGTTTTATAAATATGGACGAAACAGGCCACAGGAGGCGTGGTAACATCCGTATTTCTGTCCGCTCATTCGTAGCTCCGTCGTAGTCCGTCTTTCTGTCTGTCGAACTGTCTAAATGTCCGTCCGTAAGTGTGTCCGTTCTTCTGTCTGTCCATCTGTTCATTTATATCGATTTGTGTTCGTTTGTTCTTCTTTCTGTCGAGTTGTCCATCTGTCCGTCCGTAAATTTGTCCGTTCTCCTGTCTGTCCATTCGTCTGTTCTTGTTCTTCAGCTTGCCGGTCCGTCAGCCTGACCGTCAGTTGATCTGTCCGCCCGCCCGTCAATTCGTGGATCTATCTGTTCCTCGATCCGTCCTTTCACCTGTCCGCCAGTTCATCGTTCTTCTGTTTGACTGTCCGTTTATCCATTTTTCCTGCCTGCCTATCCATCCATCCCGTCTGGCCAATCCGTCTAACCATCTATCGTTTAATTACGGACATAATTGCAATGTATGTCTAAAAGAACCGTAAACTATTAGCTCTTTGTAGGGTATAGGCTATATCCCAGTCGAGCAGTTCTAGTCCCAGTTCTGTCTTATTCTTTTATTTATATTTTGTTACATTTACTAGAAGAGCTTTGCTTTTCTCAAGCCAGGTGAATAATGCTGGCAAAACATTTGTCATCTCACTTAAATTGCCTTGAACAAGTTGTATTCAGAGCCCGTTGTTAATCTGAGTAATTGTAATATGATTTGACCTGATTAATCATTCAGTTAAAATCATGTCCAATTGCTCATGTTTTTTATGGCTCGTTAGGCTGCGGGACAAGTCTGCTCGCCTTGACAGCCAAATGGGCCCAATTGAGAGGCAGCTGTCAGTTGTCACCTGGGCAGAGTTTGAGCTTAATGTTACTGGAATTTAATATCGCGCTCCGGCTTCAGTGCGAGCTGCCAACTGACATTACCTTGAATGGCCAACGTGCAAAAAAAAAAAAAAAAAAAAAAGGAAAAATTAAAGAATCAAAGTGAAGCGAAAGTAGCGAAATTTCAAGTAGTCTTTGCCTTTCGTTCAGTTCAATCATGCTGTGAATGCTTCTGGTTGCCTTTTGCAGATACGCGATGGGCAGTATGGCTTCTCGACGCTAATTGGAAAATACTGCGGCACCGACTTTCCGCCGGAGATAACGTCGAAGGAGCGGTATCTGTGGCTGCACTTCCACTCGGACGACACCATCGAGTATACGGGCTTCAGTGCGGTCTTTGAGTTTTTGGATAGGAATCGTGAGGCGCCCAGCACGGATCTCAATTGTACCATCGAGAAGGATGGCTACGAGGGCTTCATTAACTCAACAGATGTCCCAGCTGAAATAAGGGAGCAGGTGATACGCGACAAGATTGCTCTCGACTGCATTTGGCGTATCCAGGTGAAGGACAACTGGAAGGTGAGTGCGTTTCCATTTCAATCAAATATATCAATTTGTCATTTGTGTGCTTTATCCTCTTCCCCTCTCTCGCTCTCTCTCTCTCTCTCTCTGGGTCTCACTCATTCTCTATCTTTCCCTCTCTCCTTCACTCTTTTTGCTTTCTCTTAGATATTTTTGAAATTTCTGGACTTTCATCTAAGCAAGCCGAACGACTGCGAAACAAACTTCTTGGATATATTCCCCGAGCAAACAGTGATGCCATTAAGGTAAGAGTTAATAGACATCCCAGCGAATTGGCTGTGTTGGCTTTAGTTAGGTCGGGCTGGGACTGGGATTGGGAGTGGGATTGGGATTGGGAGTGGCATTGGGATACGCAATCCCAGTGCCACAAACCAATTTCCGCTTCACGAATGCGCCACAATGTGAAGTCAGCCAAAAAGCGTTTTCCAACGCTGCAAAGATCAAAGCATGTAAAGCAAAATTTCAATTTATTACCGGCCCAAGTAAATTGTATGACAGCGGAAGCTGCGGCGGCGTCAGTGGCGGCGGCGGCGGCGGCGTCGCCTTTGACTCGCCCAACTGGAATTGTTCTGTGCCACCAGCCGAACGCCGACGACGGCAGTGTCTACCCATCCATTGCGATTTACCATTTGCCATTTACCATGTGCCAGGCACAGCCTTTCTCTCCCTCTCTCCCTCTCTCTGTCTCTCTCTCAGCCCTCTGCCGCTTTCAACACGCCAGCAAATTTCCACTTGTTGCTTGCTCGCCTGTTTTCCCTTTCCCCTGCCACTCTCCCCGGCCAACTTCAGCAACTTCAACACTTGCAATGCCATTCGATTTTAGAGTCAACTCTAGGGTTCGGGCTTTTGTGCGCTCGCTGATGGGCGTCGGGGCCAACGGCGACGGCAATGACAGCACCACTCAATGTGATTGACTGGCCGTCTAGATGAAGCCGCCTGTCTCGTCGGCTGGGGCCATTGATTTGCTGCTGGTTGTACCCTAACGCAAGGCATTCAAATTACATACAAAAGGCGGAGCTAACACATTTGCGCATTGACAAAGATAAAGAGAGTCTCGGCCTTTCTACAAGCATCGATTATTATTGTAACTGAAGTTCAAGTTTCGATACCTTAGATAACTTAGATCGCATGCAAGCTATTCTCGCTCAGTTAGTGTATTCAACTGTCGGCTTCGTCAGCCTGGATTTGATTTTGGCCCTTGATATTGTTGTTGGCGCTCCGCTCGGCTCTGGCTCTGGCTCTGGCTCTGGCTCTGACTCCGGCTCTGGTCGTTGCCACAATTTCTATTTAAATTCATTTTTCGTAACAATTTGGCAGACGACGTATTGGTTTGGGCCGTGTGGCCGTCCGTCCGTTCACATTGAATGCATTTCAAAACAACTTAAGTACATGGACATGCCACGCCCACACTTTATGCCCTCGATTTGTGGCAAGAAAAAAAGAAAAATTCCATTTCGAGTCGTATGCGTTAAATGTTTAGCTACAAATGTTAATCAAGTCCGCAAAGAACATGCTGCTAGAGTTTAAGATAGACTTACAAAATATGCATACATATACATATTTTTAAGCATATGTGCATGCACATGCATAATTCATAAGCTGCACAAAGTGAAATTTGATATATTTCTAGAAATATCTAAACATTTGCCAATTCATTTCAGAGTGAAGAACTTTTGCGGATCGGCGGGCGAGAGCATTACGGCGGAGTCAAACATTCTGCACATGCGATTTTACGCAGAGCAAAGTGCGATTAACTCAACATTCGCCATTCTCTATACAGCATTCCGGGATCGTGGATCGGGCAGTAAGTGCAAAACTCTTTCTCAATGTTTTTTTTTTTTTTTAACTAACTAACTGTGGCTGCGGATTGTGGCGGAAAATCCTTCAAATTTGGAAGCGACTCAAAGCAAGCAGCGGACGGCATCAGAGGACGGTGCTCGGCTGGGCCAAATGCCTTGGCAATCCGATGCTAAGCTTACGCTATCCACAAGCACCGCAAACGTCGACGGCTTTTTTGTTGGCTTTTTGGCAGCCAGAGGCTTGCCTTCTCTCTGTCCGTCCGTCCGTCCGTCCGTCCGTCTGTCTGTCTGTCTGTCTAGCTGGCTGACTTTCTCTATGCCATGTGCCGTGCGCCATGTGTCTGGCTAACTACTTATGTGGCTGGCTGTGTGTAGCCTATGTCTGTAGTCTGTGTGCTGTGCTGTTTGTTTGTCGCCCAGTTTTGCGTGATTGCCGCCTGTTGCCAAAGGCTAAGCACTTCTTTGTCATTCAACGAGTGTCCTTTGTGCCAGGCATTGTTAACTTTGGCAAAGCCCGCCTCGCTTCCAGTTAACAGCTAACGACCCTCCACACTGCCTCCAGTCAAGGCTACCAAATTTTAGGTGACATCCAAGCCCGGCCAGCACAACAGATTGAGCATCGTTCGAGACGAACTTTCTGAGTTTGAGGCTTTGTCGTCATCGTCGTCGTCGTCATCGTTTTTGGCAGTGCAATTATTGTTGCTGTAGCACGATTTATGTTCGAGATTAGGTCTATTTGTTTTGCTGCTCTCAGACATTTCAATGCGCTTTGAAGGAAATGCATATGCATACTCTATTAAATATTGAGTGATAGCAAATATGTTGTTTAAGAAAACAAAAATATATTCTTAACACTTGGATTTAAGGTGAAATGATTTACTCAAATAATATTTATGATTTTTAAGATGAAACTGAGCAAATGACTCTTATTCTCGTTAGAGTCGATCAATGTAGTATTGTATCTATTTATTGTATCTGGAAAATCATTTCTACGATTTAGTAGTTCCTTTAGATGAGGATGCACATGGGTGTAGAATCAAAACTGTTGCACAATCAGATGATAGACTGACTGCAAAACAATAAGATCTACTACTACAGTGGAGTCTCGATAATTCGTACCCCGCTAAATTGAAAATCGCGATAAATTAAATTCTCTTCCCCTGAAAGAAATTCGATCCCTTTGATCCCTTTGCGATTTCCAACTATCGCGATTCTATACTGTAGTATATACTATATTATACTATATATTACTATTTAAAAATATCTCGACCAATATAAAGTAAAGTTGCCAAACAAGTCTCAGTTTTCTCAAAATCTGAGCTCTTGCTCTCAGCTCCGCCACAACCATTCATATCTAAGCAGAGTATTTACATAGTCACTAATGCTCGTTATCAATTCTATTCCACAGCCATTTTGACAATAATTAAGCAAGTTTTAATTGTGAATCCTTGTCTTCCACAGCGTGCACCGAGGACGAGTACGATTGCGAGGACGCGACATGCATATCAAGCGACTTGAAGTGTAATGATCGAGACAATTGCAAGTTTCGCTTCGACGAGGAGAAGTGCAGTGTAAGTGTGAAAATCAACGAGCCACAGATTACCTGATTTGTTTTCTTTTACTTTTCGCTCTCTCTCTCTCTCTCTCTCTCTCTCTCTCTGTCTCTCTCTATGTCTCCCTCTCACTCCCTTTCTTTTACCCATTGGAAATACATTGTGAGCGTCTCAACATCTCCTTTCCATCGTCATTAAGTTGAGCAAACTTTGTGCATGCATCTAATTATAGGCAAACGAGTGTGCCACACACACACTCACATATATATACACACATATATATGTATATAGTCTTGACTATCATTTGAACTATGCCACACACACACACACACACGCGCAGATAGACAAAGTTAGCCAAATAAGTTTTGTTTGCAAAGTCTGAGGTTTATATTCGAGGCGTTCTGCTTTCTCTGCATTGTCAACGCGCGTTGTCCATGGACTGGGCTGAATTGTTGTTATTGTTTTAGCTTTACGCTCAATCTCCACTTGCTTTGTTTTCGCCTCTCTCTCTCTCTCTCTCGCTTTTTTTTTTTTTTTTTTTTTTTTTTTTTTGGTGTTTTGTTGGCTCAGCAATTGTGTTAGATGATTAGATTTGATAAGGTCACCCAGCGTCAGCGATTGCCCAGCGAATTGGCTTGGCTCTAAAGCAATGTCTCCTCAGTGACTCATTAAACTTGAAAGCGAGCAAATAGTTTGCATTCCTCGGGGGGCTGCTCTGTGGCTGTCTGCTGTAAATCTTGTTTCGATCGTAAAACTTAACTAATTGAACAAACAAACATTCACAAATGCGTTTTCAAGCATTTGAATTTACGATTTACAACTCCGGCTAGACTCTTTCGAGTCGTAATTAATTGCAGTGCAAACAACTGGACGCTCAGTTGCTGTTCAGCTGTTCAGCTGTTCAGCTATTCAGTTATCCAGTTATTCAGTTATTTGTTTAGCCATAATCCAATTTAATAATTACGTTCATTGTGCTGCGTTAACGATAATCGCATTACAATTTGGAATTCCAATTGTTTAAGTATATATAAAATCAAGCGATTTGTTGCCACTAATTTGTGTTGCGATTGTTCCTAAATTGCCAAATAAATCAAACATTTTTCTTGCCTTCTCTCTGACTAGCTCTCTCTCTCTCTCTCTCACTCACTCTCTCTTTCCTTCCCTCTCCACTTGACTCATAATTGGCGCAACGGTTCAAACGTGCAGCTCAATCATGCGCATACACAATCATAGCATATATATGTATATGTGTATTCATATATTTTATAAATATATATACATATATTTAATTGGCTCTGATTTAAATTAGAGCTCGAATTTTCACTAATTGTGTTCAACGAATTTGATTTCGCCAAAGCAACCAAATCAACTCAGCCAACCGTCATATTATTGCCATTCTCGCTCTGTGTGTGTGTGTGTGTGTGTGTGTGTGTGTGAAGGTGGGTCCATGTGTGTGGCTTATGAAAGCTTTATAATTATGCAGTTTTTGCTAGCTTGTTACGCAGAGCAGCCAACATGTTGTAACAGCATTCAAAGCCCGCTCAGAGCGCTCTTTCATTTTGTTATCATATGTCGCTGCCTATTAAAAATTCATTGCAAAGGGTATGCACGTTCGTAACAGGCAGCACAGGAGCCAATGAAGTATGTAACAGTTATGACAATCTGTAGCAAATTAAATTCAAATATATTCTATAGCTTTAGTTTGAAGACCTAAAGTCAGTTTGGAAATAGACAAAATTAAATCGGAAATTTTTACTTTTTTGGGGTTACATAATTGTGAAAGTTATATCTAAATTGTTTTTCCAAGCATATTTACTAAATATGTATTATATATATTCTCTATATATATCAACAATATATGTTATTTACTTTGCATATTTAATTGGGGCTTGTCAGCTCGGTTACGTATATGAAATTTCAAGTCTAGCAACTGTTTTTAATGGACTGACGGACAGCCGACGTGAACAAAACAAATATTCACTTTTCGCTTCATCAACAACCGAAGCGAGTTTTAAATTTTAATTAAATACATTTTTCTTTTTTTTTTAAGCAATATTAAACTACATGAAAGCAGCAAGTTTGCAGCAGAGTTTATTTAAAAAATATATATACAAGCTGAACTGTATTTGAGGTTTATACTGGGTTAACCTAATAATAGACTGAGCACAAATGTCAGGCTGTTCAATTAGGACTTCATTTGCCTTCACATTAGGCTGTCTGTATGCATGAATCCACGTTAATTTTGGATTCTATAAAAATCTATAGAACAGTTCTCATCTCATCTGCAGTAATCATATAGTGTATCAAAATAAATGAAGTTAAAAAAAAAAAAAAAAAAAAAGGACAACCATTTGCCTACTTGTTTTCTTGATTTCTTGTCCTTTATGCATATAATATAAATACATGTATTTTTACATTATTATTATTCTGACATATATACACTTCCTTTCACAGAATGAAACGCCCGGCCAATCGGAGCATGTGGTCATCATAATAATTGTGTTTGGCCTGATACTGGGCGGCATGTTCATCACGTTCATTGTCAACTGTGTGCGAAAGATTATACGAGACCAGAAGATAATACGCGTAAGTAACGTAATAATGCTTGATTGTTATTAGGCAGCCCTCTCTGCGCGTTCTTAGTGTCCCAAAATAAAATAGAAACTACCTTCACAATGTCTTTGTCTAGCCTCTAGCCTCTTGCCTCTTGCCTCTCGCCTTTGCCTCTTTAGCCTGTTTGCCTTGCTCACAATCTGCTCGCTGTGCTTATCCTGCTCGCTCTAGTCACTGCCCAACACGAAACAAAAAAGAAATGATAAAAAACTTTACCGTCCCCCACGTATACCCCACCCCCCACCTGCAGTCGGTGGCCGGCTAAGGACAGTCTCTCGGTCCGCTCCATATGAATAGAATTTTAAACATGAAATAACATAGATTTTGTTAAACAGCAATGCTTATATCGGCGAGTTCTTTTATCATGCAATACAGACACACACACACACACACATGCACACACACACACACACACACACACACACTCACACACACAAACACACACACATAATAGCAGAAAGCAAACAATTCACCAATATTTTAATGTATGTAAATTGTAAAATTTTTAGTTATTCCAGCTGACCAGATACGCAAAATGTAACCAAAACAAAGTCTGCGTTCTACCAAAAACTCTTTATGCTTATTATCTCATTTTGTGTGTGTGTGTGTGTGTGTGTGTGTGTGTGAGAGTGCGTGTGTGTCTTTAGTGTGCTATATGAGCATTTTGTATACCCTGTTAATATTTAATATTAATTTGAGGGGGCTTTAGGCAATAAGATCTGGCTTGGCTCCATATAATTCATATATGAACATTGAAAAAAAAAAAAAACTATTTTCTAATACTGAATTCGGCTATAAATAGAAAATGTATATGCAATATACTATGTATGTGTATGTAGAATAACAAATAGTTTTATTTTTTATAATATTGAACATTAAGTAGAGTGCTCTGAGAATATAATACAATAAAAAATATTATACATTCAGGTTTTCGAAAATTGTTTATATGCAGTGAGTAAAATTTATATTCGTTTTTTTTTTTTTTTTTTTTTTTTTTTTTTATTCTTCAACTTTAACTTCAAATTCAAACGCCTATAAAACATATACAATTAATTTAAATTTAAAAAAAAAATATAAATAAAACAAAAAATTTGTAGATTAAAAAAAAAAAAAACTTTTCCGATGAGGTATATATCAATATATTTGGCATAACTAACAAAGATTATACATAAACCGCAAAAAAAAATGTTGGAAAATAAAAAAGCCGAATATTAATACTACTCACTGTATATACACTTCTGAAAATATAAAATATGCTAGAAAAAAAAAAAAATATAATAAAAAATTATTATTAAAAAGTTTACTTATTATTTTTTAAATCACACAAAAACTTGCTGCAAAAATACTTAAAGAAGAAAATTGTCTTTGCGAAGATTTTCTTTAAATTATTATTATTTTTATTAATGTTAAAATTATTATTAATTTTATTATGATTATTATTTTTATAATTATAATTAATAGTATTACTATATTATTTATCATTTATTTTTTCATTACATTAAGAAATAGGTAAATATTTTAATAAAAATATATTTTCCTAAGTTTATTGAACTAATGACGCAAGATTTTCTCTTAGCACTGACACTTGAGAGGCTCTCGGCAGCAGGAGTAGTTCGAACAGCAGTATATGCTGTACTCGGATGAGTGAGCAGCAACGATCTAGAGCCCTAAGAGTGCAGCACTTAAGGCTGTACTCAGATGAGTGCTCACTCATCAAACACGACTCAACTGAGCTGTACTGAAATTATAATCTCACAACCTATCTCCAATGCCATAGCTGCCCTCAGTTTGCAGTTCGTATTCCACGTGTGTTCCTTTCCCGTTGATTCCATACTCATGCTGGAGCAATAGGCTAACTATTCTCTCTATAGAGCAGCATTTCAACTGAGTGTGCTCAGCTACAGGGTATCTCTAGTTCAGCACACTTAACACATTAAGTAGTTATAAATATTACAAAGCCTTATCTAAAAACGTTTAAATGAAACAAGGAATTTTGAGCTTTGATAAGGAATGTGTTTGAGCTCACTTGCCTAGCGAGAACATAAGACAATTCAATTCGAATTGGAATTTCCATTTTTATTAGAGAACTGAAAAATGGAAATTTCTGAGTAGAATGGCTGGCTAAGGACTTCCGGCAAATCCATTTTTATAGCCGCCATTTGCTCATGCAATTGATGAATGCCCAATGATTGTCAGATTAAGATGTGATGCGCTTGCTGAACTGATAAATGGCCGGAGTGGCAAACTGTGTTTACGGATTAATGGCAGTTCACACTATTAATATTGCGCATACGACACGTGACGTGGCCGCCTGCTTGACATTGAGTTTGAATCAGGGCTGTGTGTGCTCTGCCATTTCTAATTACAATTTATGGCACAGCAACAACAACAGCAACAACAGCAGGTTCAAATGTCTTGACTCTGGTTAATCTCAGCCTCAGCTCTGGGTAACTCGCTCGGCGCCATCCCAGGGGGTAGCTAGCTGTCCGCCTGTCCGCTGCCCGCTGCCCGCTGCAGATGCTTGTTTGCTATCTTGGGCAACATTTCATTAGCTGTCGATTTCAATACAGCTCGCCCGATATCATCTAGGGTGCCCGCCTGCCAGAATGTCTGGCCTGGCACTTGGCACTCAACAAGCTGCTGCTCCTGCTGTTGCTGTTGCTCTTGCTGTTGCTCTTGCTGCCGCTGTTGCTGCATGGCTGGGAAAGCATTTTATTGTCATCGCATTGCCAACGTCAGCCGCCCAGTGGCTCCCCGGGGAGATTGCTTGCTGAGCCAGCTCAAACAGCGTTGGCACATAGGCAGAGAAGGAAAGGGAGGGAGAATAAGACAGAGAGAGAGAGAGAAAGGGAGAGAGAGAGAGAGAGAGAGAGAGAGAGAGAGAGAGAGAGAGAGAGAGAGAGAGAGAGAGAGAGAGAGAGAGAGAGAGAGAGAGAGAGAGAGAGAGAGAGAGAGAGAGAGAGAGAGAGAGTGAGCTGCAGATTTAACTTTGACTTTTGCAATATTGACAACTGCTGTCGAAAAGCAAGAGCAGAAATTGAATATCATTCTGGACATGGACAAAAATATGCTGCAGCTGCTGTCAGCTAACAAGTTAATTAACTGATTGTGTGCGTGTGTGTGTGTGTGTGTGTGTGTGTGCGTGGGCGTGGCTAGCGCTATTTATAGCGCCGCCTAGCAGCTGCTGGTATGCCGCTTGATTGAACACACGAACCGCAAGTCACGCCCCTCGTGCTCGTGCCTCAGCAGTGATTTGTTTGCTGAGCAGCCGAATGGCTGAACACCTTCTTTTGGGCCAATTCAAGTCAACAAACATAATAATAGGTGTGTCTATCCCTATCTCTCTTTGTGTGTGTTAGTGTGTGTGAGTCAAATCACACACTTGCAAATGTCGCAAGCCATTCAAGCTAGCCGACTATCCGACTATCCTATCGCATCGCACACGATGACGCGTCGCTGGCTGTATTAAATTCCTGCCAGTTACACACCCACACACACACACACACACACAATCACACAAAAGTCATTCGCATCGATGTTCTCTGCGCTGGCACGAGACAAGGCGACAAGATTCCTATCACGCAACCTATTATTGTTTTTCTAATATGCCAAGCCCCCTCCAGACATGCCGTCTCGGCCTCCACCCAGCCCACGATTTGACAGCAATCATGGCAGGCCAACGAGGCCACAGGCTCTGCTCAATCTGCGGAAGTGAAGTGGTTCTCAATATGTGAGGCTTTTGCAGTGCTGCCTCTACTTGCTGTTGATTAACAAGGCGCATTGCATTGTATATTGCTTGAATTGAAATACCCTAGAATGAAGTGAGTACTCGAATTGGACAGTCAGCTAGGTAGAGATCAGAAGTCTGAATGTTGCTCAGCCATAGATCAAATGCTCAAGAATGACTTTATTTAACTGTCATAGATCTGCAGCTTAAGCTTAATAAGCTCGAGTCACATTGATAAATGTCGCTAAAGCATAAATTATATATATGTAAGAATGAATGTATTCATTTGGAAGTTATAAATAAATACGTCTGTCTGAAGTATGATCGTTAGAGTATTTCATTAAGTTAACGATCCACAGTCTCAACAATAAATTCATTTGACATCATAAATGCATCCCTCATCACCGGATTTACTAAGAATAAATTCACTTTATCTAAATAGGCCAAAGTTGAAACATTATTGAGTTCATTTACTGGCTAAGAATATATCCTTCAGTTGTTTTTTTTTTACAGTTTTTTACAGTTTTAAGAATAAATTCATTTAATTGACAGTCATGAATATACAATATCAATCATTCACATATCTACTGCAATGAATTATTTTGTAAATTATTTTATAAATATATTTAAATTCAATAATAAATGAGTTCACTTGGCAGTCATGAATACATTTAACAGTCAGAGACTGCAGTCTGAAGAATGAGCCCATTTGACAATGTTAAAAAGAATTATATTTAAATTCTTATGTGAATACATTCACTTAGCAGTTATGAATACACCTATCATTCTGCATTCACTTGGTAGTCATGACTATGCAGGGCTGTCCCATCTGGCAGCATTATATTTGGACAAAGATGCCAGATCGCTTATAAGTTCCGTTGAATATGGACAACGCTGTAGGCCTCAATACTAGAACAAGGTTTCTCTATCTCCAACATTTCTCTATCTCTAGCATTTCGAGCAAACCTTTTATGTATCTCTGCGAATCATGCTATATACAGAGTATATTTCAGTCAAATTGCCAACACGAGCCGACCACTTATCGTCCTTGTCCACAGCACATTGTGCATGCGTGACTACTGTTTCGGAATGCCCATTAATTGAGCTCGAGAATTAATGAAATTTGAGCTAAGAGGCTTCTTAATTCAGGCCAACAATTCAATGAATGCTGCTACAATGTCCGGAGACTCGGCCGGAGCCCGTGGAGCGCCTGAACCTGCTGCCATGGAGCATCCATTAAGGCAAT